GACGACAACTCAATAGTTAAACAATCCTTCCTAATGTCTAAACAACTATTGAAAAAGGCAAAGAATCTTTCTACACCAACGCAATAAACATGCTTAAATCACTATGATAATACAACAAACTTGGAAAGTGATATAATCAACTACGATACAAAAACTATTGTAAATAAGATGAAAGATAAATATTTTGAATTTTGGCAACATAAAATGATTAACTCCTCCAAACTATCTTTCTTTTGTACATTTAAAAACCAGTACAAAATGGAAGAATATTTATCCCTTATTGATAACCCAACGGATAAGAAGAACATTTTCTCAATATAGAGTAAGTAATCATAAATTGAAAATTGAGCGAGGAAGATACGAAAACGTTTCTCGCGAACAACGTTTCTGCAAACTTTGCAACACCGGTGAAGTGGAAAACGAATATCACTTAGCCTTATCTTGCCCGAAATACGAAGAATTAAGAAATAATTCTAACAACAATCTCAAAAATCTATTTTATCTCAATAACACAATGGAAGGAAAACAAAAACTGTTTGAGCATATGCGATGTCTTCAGACGATCCAGTTCTTGTTAACCTGCTTTCTTTTCACTGTTTTTCAGAGAGAGATAAAAGCCTCAAATCCATGGAAGATTAGGGACAACAATTAGACTAAAAATTCCTTAGATAAATAATAAAACAAAATAAACAACAAAAAAAACCCCAACATTATATCTTTAAATTATATACTGCTTTTCTATTTGTAAATAGCTTCTTCCTATATATTTTTATAGTTATAGCTTAGACATTACTGACATTTTATATATATAATCTACGCTTAGCAATACCTGTATAATTAGGTCATGCAAATAAAGCTTTATAATGAAACAAAAATATCAACTAAAAATTACTGTAGAGCCCCTTTTCCTAATCTGAATGTTTTTACGGTATTTTGTTTTACAGTGAATGTTCTGGAGAACTAATTATGCCAGATGAGGATGAAGACTGACTGTGCAAACAATGCAGAAAATAGCACTCATTAGTTTGGACAAAACATCTATGACTATTTTGCGGTACTGTTTCCCATAAACCCAACACAACGTAGATAACGAGTTACATGGTGAACACAAGAAGTTTAATTAAAGTAGGCAGGCAAGAGCCGTCCTTACTATATCACACAAATAAATTTGCATAGTTCAATGGTAAATCGATGATAGATATCTTGTACAATCTTCTGTCCATTGCCAAGACAAATGTCTCCAAGTTGTTTTTCCACAATTTGCTTGTTTTGATAGTAGTCCATAGAATAATTATACAAAAAGTGCACCGAAAATGACTGAATGGTTGAACTTCTTAAATGAAGGAAATTTTTCCAATGATTTTCACTTTCTTGGTAACTGGTTCTAATCGAACTTTCTTCTCACACAATTTATTGTCATGATAAGCACATAGTGGTGACTTGAGGGGATCCATACTTGCATGAAAGTGGTCACCAACAATATACCTTCTGTTAGAATATGTGCCTGATACTCTGTAGACAATAATAATATTAGTTAACAAATGACATTGATTACTATATGTATGTATGCAGAATGTAATCTCTGGATACCACACATTCCAGTACAAACAGTTGCTCCATGTACCAAACTGTACACCATTTATGGTAATAGAATGTGATATGTCAAAATACTTATAGATATAATCTTGTGTGTATATATATATATATATATATGTATATATATATGAATATAATTTTTTATTTTAAAAATTTAAAAAAGACTTCTACAGGCAATAAAAATTTAAAAATTTGTCCCAACGTTTCGCCGGTTAAGGCTTCTTCAGGGGAATGTTTTAACTGGTCACGTCCGTTGAATATATACTAAAAGCTAGACTAAATTTAAATAAACAGGTGGAATGCGGGCAATAACGAGCTAAAAATGTATATATATGTATATATATGTATATATATATATATATATATATGTATGATTTTTATTATTAAATTAATTCCTTTCTAACACTCCAAAGTTGTATGTTGTGATTCGTATTCAAGAAAGAGCGATGGCAACGGTACCAAACCCAACACCTTCGACTCCCACTGATGGGGTGGTCAAGACCTGGAACAACACAATTTCTGGAACATTCACCTAAAATTTAATAGAGAGACAATATTCATTTTAAAAACAAATGACTTGAAAAAAGTTAAATGATCATATTGCTGCCAGTTTTGTAGCATATACATGCACTTTGCATTCATCATACTCACAACATTTGGCTTTCTGTCAAACTTAGGTTTTGCCCAATAAGTGTTTAGCGATGTCAGGATACTGTAGGTCCATATGCCTTGCCAATCCACACGGTGTATTGCAAACAAATAAAGTTGAAGGGTACTTCAAAGATAAAGTTAGGTCTGCAGCATCTTGGACAGACTCTTAAAGTAAGAGGAACTCGGAAGCAACAGTGCACTGGAAAAAGGAAACACAAAAGAACATTTTTATACTGTATTATCAGATATGAAACAACGTTAGGAATAGTGATTGAATATATCACACATACTGTATTTGAAAAAAAGTCTAACTTAGGTTTATAGAAAAAACTGCTCTAACCAGAGTAATGAAATTGTGTGAAACTGTGTTTTAAATGGCATTGGTATAAATACGACTATACTTTTTTTGTAAACTACAGCAAGTAGTGAAGAAACATCTCTTCCTCACAATTTTTGACAAGTTTATCACAAATAAATAGTAAAAACGTGTTGAAATGTTGTTTTCTTACTGGTTTTTACTAAAACAATTAGACTATTCGCTCTCAATTTCTATGTGATGGTAGTTTGCATCATAGAAATTTTGAGCTCATTTAATCTAATTGTTAATTAGATAGTGAGTAGCATAGCTAATCTGAATGCAGCATTTGCATTGCGCCCTGGAACTGGCAACGGGGTAAAGTTGCATTGTGCCCTGGATGACATGTCAACTTTTTATTATTTTTTTATTATTAAAGTAATATTTTAACAGGAAGCTCCAATCACATGCATGGTTTTCATGGAGGTCCTGCATAATAAAACTATCTATAATACATTAAATAACAAGTTTAAACAAAAAAGGTCACTATAAAAAGTCACTATAAAAGTATATAAAAATCCAAGCCAACATTTATCAATGTATCTATTTAAAAATATTCTTAATTGAATATTTAAAATTCATTAAGCAATCTATTTCTCTAAGAGAATAATCAAGGAAGTACTGTTTAATAAACGAGCAGGAGTGTTTTATTAGGTTTAAAACCACGAGCGTGCAGCGCGAGTGGCTTTAGACCAAATAAAACACGACTTGCGAGAACACGACCTGCGGCTTCAAACATGACCACAAATTCAATAGAAATACTGCCTTAGTATTCTTTATATAAAGAATACGGAGGGCACGACTTCAATAAATACTGCCTTATTAGTATTCCTTATTTAAGGAATACTAATTAGGAGTATTTTATCAGGTTTAAAGCCACTGCACGTGACATATTATGGTTGACATGATTTGCCAATAAGCTTATGAATTATTAATGATGTTTGAATGCCATTGTAAGCCTATGAATCAAGCGAATTTTTTCTAATGACTTCCAACCCAGAGAAGAAGAAGAACGCATAGGCATGTCTAGTACGATCTTTGCTGCTTTATTCTGCAACACTTGCAGTTGACTCATTAAACTGGCATTGTTCTCGTCACCCCACACAAAGTCTCCTAAGTAAATAATGGACTAACAAGACTGTTATACAGAGTTAATCTTGCATGAAGTGGTAACAATTTCCTCACACGATTTATTGTTCCAATCCTTTGGGTGACTTTAGTACAAAAGGGACTCCACATGGTCAGCCCAACACATATTCTGCTTCATAGACGGATTTTCTGGGGGGGGGGTGCAGGGGGTGCTACCCCTCCAATATTAGCTATAACCCCCCCAAACAAAATGTTCACCCCTCCAAAAAAATGTTCAACCCCACCCCCCAATATTCGGCATAATAACTAAATAATTAAACAGTCCACTCCAACGTGAGTGTTGATGATACAAAATAAACGTAGGAGTACACTGGAACAGAAAAAGACAGTGCAACACTCTGAAACTAATCGCTCCTCGCTTGCATTCACTGGTTTATTGGAGCAATTCTAAAGTTTTGAAACTCTATTATCTTCCCTGAATAGAGTTTGCAGTGCCTAATTGTCATGCGAATAGCTTGCACGCAAGGAATGTTTGGAATTTTTACGAACACTATTTTTAGTTTTTAATTATTTTAGGAAATAGACTTGCCTAGATTTAATCTTTACACCCCAAATATTATTTACATCGGAGTTGCATCATAAATTGTACTCGGATTCAAACAACACAATGTCAATGACTTTATAAAAGTAAAAGCATATTGTGTATTGGCCTATTGGGTTTACCTTTTATAGGTTCATTTAACTTTAAGTCTTTAACTCTCTCAAGTCTTAACAGACAATCGGACATGCCAAATCCATTGATATGACAAATTGACAACTTCAAAAAACTTTTTTTCGAAGCTAGAAATCATGATTTTCAAATATTTTCCAGGGATACTTTGTTTTCTGCTATCTAGACTCCCCCTCGCGGCTCTAGTGCTCCACCCCTAGAATATAGTCCTTACTGGGGTTTGGTGACACTTTGTGTTGCTTCAGTCACCTGCTCACGGCTCACCCCCCTAAAATTTCTGGCACCACCCCAGTAATAAATATGAAAATCCGTCTATGTTCCGCTTGACAATCAGAACGAGGTCATTAAATGATTCTGCGTTCTCGATTTCTTGTTGATCAACACGTATGTTAATATCCTGTACCTTCTTAAGCCTTTGGTTACTCCCAAACAAAACAAATTTACATTTAGAAATGTTAAGTGTTAGTAAGTTGTGATAGAACCATCTCGAGAGTACAAGATCAGCATTTAACTTGTCTTCCAAACTTTTGCATATTTGCTGGAATAATATAACACAGTATCATCTGCATATAAAATGACTTTACTTTGTAGATTGAGTGATGGTAGTTCGTTCACATACACAACAAAAAGCAACAGTCCGAGTATGCTTCCCTGAGGGACTCCAACAGATACAAGCAAAGGAGATGATATACTATCACTGACAGACGTAGGTTGACTTCTTTCAGATAAGTATGATTCGAACCAATCGAGAGAATCCTCGTCTACTCCAAGTATACGAAGCTTATCCAACAACATTGTGTGATCGACGGTATCAAATGCTTTACTGAGATCCAAAAAGACCGCACCAGTGAAGCAACCAGCATCCATATCTCTAAGAATACTGTCGGTGAATTTTCTTAATGCAAGTCCGGTTGAAAGTGTTGGCCGAAAACCAAATTGCTTTGAAGTGATTAGTTTATTCCATTAAGATAGTTATACAATTGTTTGTGAACAAGTTTCTCCATAATTTTACTGAGTGCTGGTAAAACAGTTATCGGCCTATAATTGTTGGGATCACACCAGTCACCAGATTTAAATAATGGTGATACTTTACCCTTTTTCCAAATAGATGGGAACGTTTTCTTGTCCAGCGAGCGATTAAATAACCGAGTAAGACTTGGTTTTATAACACAGGCAGAATCCTTGAGTAGAGGTGGACTAATTTCATCAAGCCCAATTGCTTTGTTTGATTTTAACTGTTTAAGGTTACATTATATGATGAAAACACTGATTTCATCATTTTTTACATTTTTATTGATTTATATTCAGAGGCTGGAGATCTCTCAATTGCCGCAAGTTTTTTTCAAAAATATTAAATTGGGTCCGAGATATAACAAAAAATGTTATAACTACTTATTCTTTTGCCACAAAACTTGTGATTGTAATTGACAATATTTGGCTTGATGTGATACTCGATACCGGATGTGTGACCTTCAACCTCGCTTGTGTCTTCGTGGTGCACGACAGATCTTCCACTGCATTTTCGTTTGGCTGATTTAGATTGGCCTTTTACATTTGCGTTTCGCCAGCATATTAGCAAGTTTTTTGTGTGGTTTCTCTCACATGTACGGTTTGTGATAAACTGATGAGTGAATGACACCTAAAACCCTTGCCAAAACACACTTTACCAATTTTAATCCGATTACAGTTTGAGGTGGTAACAGAGAGCGGAAAAAAAATCATTAGCTACAGCAACGATTTATCATTATGCATGCAAAATTTGAAGGGGAAAACTTGAAAATTGAGTGCGCGGTGAGCATTTTCATGAAATGGGTTGATGATGGTCATGTGGAGTAACCTTAAGTTGATCATACACGAATTGCTCACTAACTGGTTATATATACTAAAACTGTCTGTACCAGTGTAGGTAGTACCAATGTAAAAATGCTGTGCTGAGTGGTTATATTACTACCTTAAAAAATAAGCAGAAACTCGACGTTTCAAGCGAAGGCCCTTCGTCAAGAGTTAGTAGCCAAGTTAGTAGTTTTGGCTACTAAATCATCTGACGAAGGGCCTTCGCTCGAAACGTTGAATTTCTGCTTATTTTTTAACTCTTTCTCAACAGGGGCCAATTGCGTCGATCGCGAGCGATCGACGGCTCGAAATTTTCATACTTTTGGTTCAGTGCATGCTTTGAAGACAGAAATACCACCAATCGATTCAGAAATAAAAGATAGACTAGTTCCAAACGATAGTTATAGTCATTATTTACATTGTAACGATTTATGGGCCTTTGAAAGTCAAACACTATAATATTGTATCAAATTACGCAATTGTCTGAACAAAATATAGACTAGCCATACCTTTCGCTGAAAATAACTTCGGCCCCTTCGCACATATCGTCTTTGTAATAGTCTTGTTCGAATCCCCATCAAAACCACTATTTAGAGTGTTATTTGCAAGCCTGTATCTTCAAATCTGTATCTTTTATCAATATATTTCCATTTCTTGTCCGACTGTGAGCTCGAAGTGAGTTAATCCCAACCGGAAATACGACTGAAAACCGTCAAAACAATGCGACGCTTATATCGTATGACCCTGGAAAGGCCAGAAATGGATTCGCAAGGTCAAATTGCACCTACACGCGTGAGTTTGACGTCATCCCGGCCAAAGGAGCTTCTTATTGGCCAATTATTGCGCAATGTACGCAAGTGCGAGTAAAACCCGACACTTGAAAAATTCAAAATAAATATTTCTAGTCGGCGTATACATACGAAACTTTCTACACGAAAGCGCTTGAATACAGAGAGTATTTTACACATATAGCCGTTCAGCAAATGACGAAAAGTTCAAGGGGTATTCAAGATCTTGTGGATATGAAATTTAGAATCTTTGGCCAAGCGGTGAGTAAATATATGATTGTTTCGCTTTGTGTAATGTTTTGACGGCACTTGACCCCCCGTTCGAAAGGTTATTTTATGAGGATTTCAATGGTGGCATTTATTTAAAAGGGGGGTAAATACTCGCGGAGATATTTATATTAGAAAAATTGTATCGAAATGTAATACGAAACCGGTTGTCGAGAAAGAGAAAAAATCTAGAGCACTATGTCTATAAACCGTTTTATAATCAATAGAATGGACATTCAATGTCTATTTGGCTGGTGTCAAAATGTGTAACGTTTGCTGTAAGACCAGCAAGGCGTAGCGCCTACGACCTACACAGTTGCTTTTGAGACCTCTATTTAACAATATTTATACCGTTTCCATATGACAACAATTCAATGGCACATTATAAGAATATTGTACGTATCTGAACCAGAGCCAAATGCAGAAACGTACGCGTGAAATGAAACTGCGCCCGAACCCTGAGACAATACGAAAGGGCAAATATTTCCAAGCATATACGATCATACGTTTTCGTTGCTTGATTTTCTGACTTGTTTGTTGCTATAAGAATCTACTACAGTTTAGCATGTTTGTATAATTTAAAAGCAAACAGAAACTGTTGAACTCATTTGGTTTATTTCGGTATATTTTATTATATATTATAAGTTTTATAAAGTTGCTTTTTTTCTTTGCATAACATAATACGAGACACACACACGAGGCATCAGTGTTCTCCGATCCCATGATGCTCTTCTCATAGGATATGACGTAATATGTGTAACTCCTGGTTGCCAAATAGGGAGCCACAGGGGTTGCAACAGTACAAGCGTTATTCAAACTCAACAAGCGTAGATAAATTAACACACAAAACTTTATTTCAATACAATGATACAGTCACGAAACGTTTCTTGGTAGCAGTTTGCTACGCCAATCTAATGGATATGGTAGCGATAGTTGATAGGTTAGCCTTTAGATCAGGTAGCGGTAGATTGTGTAGCGTAGATATTGTAGCAATATGTAGGTAGCAATATGTAGGTTCGAACTGAAACACGACAATAAAATAAAACTACTTAACTAAGTGATATACTTAAGCATGCAATAAACTAACGAATGTCAATGAATAACAAAACTAACTAAACATAAACTAATAAACAATCCAATACTGTAACTTACGTACTTTAGTTTACACCTGTACTCCAATAGCTGGCTGCTGTAGATAGATAATTGAAGTAGAAATCCACTATATTTGAATAGGTTGCGTTCGCATGTCTTTTTGTACTACCGTCAATTCAATACTAAAGGGGTGTGACTTAATGTCACGCAAACATACAAGGCTGATATGCCACAATGGCATTACGTAATTATGATCTACTAGATATCCTGTTTCAAACTAACATTCCGGCCCCTTAAAGGCGTTTTTTGCCTTTACAAAGCGTACCGAATAGGGTAGTTTGAGACAGTATAGTAACTAAATAACCAGTTAATGAATGTTCTACTTATCGTTTGATGATCCGGCTGCTTCCAACAGAACAATCTTGGTGATTGGTCGAACCAACGCTGTAGTACTAGTCTTCACTTTCACCGATCGCACAAA